AGTACTTAAGTAAAAGTACAAAGTACTCCTCTCAAAAACTACTCAGAGTACTAGTTACTAGTTACTTTTTATCCAGCGATATTTAATGAATTACCAAAAAATATTCATTCATATCAAAGATCTATGTGGATAATAGCTAAAAAATAAGATAAAACCCACTTTTATCTTATTGACAAAGTATGTGAATTAGTGGTCATGATACAGGAATTACTAACTTCAATACCTTGAAAAATATAAATATCTAAAGTACCCATAAACCGGAAGTTGCAACTGACTTCAGTGTTGCGTTCCAAGTGAAACGGAATATTGAATAAAGGGCGGGGTTTTATTGTGGTGCACCTCCACTCCACCTCTTGCTCATATTCACGGTTGGATAGGAGTGTTTAAGAATATCTGCTTGTTACGTCTAACATCATGCTTCACCGCTTATGGGTCCTAACGCTCTGCCAGACACCCCCCAAAAAACAACAAACTGTGCATACACACACTTATGATGTCATGTAATACTGAAAAATTATAACCCTAACCTTTATCACCTTACTGAAGTCCCAGATAGTCTGACGGTGATTCAGCTAAAATATAGTGTCTGAGACACTGTGAGCACGGAGACTGTAGTGTGCACAGCAGATTTTTAAATGCTTAGCTTAAATATGTAATATTAATTAAATAATGCTCATAAATGGCTGTCCAGATAGTATTCTCAAGTGAAATGAGTAAAGGCATGGACCCGGAAACAGCAGTCCTTACGTCATGACTTAACAAGAGGATTCTCCCCAAGCTGTCAAACTGAGGTCACCAGAGCGAGAACGCCATTTACTCAAAAAAGTACAAGTACCCGAAAAAACTACTTAATTACAGTAACGTGAGTAGTTGTAATTCGTTACCTCCACCACTGCTTAATACGCAGGTCAAATATAAATATGTGATTTCTTTCCCAGCTATTTATCTTCATAGACATAACAGACCGTGTTTTTGTAACTTATGTGTGTTTTTAACATGAACTTGTGTGTATTTGGCGGTTTAAGTGCAATAAGACATGAAAGAGAACTTAGATTAGTACTCACATGCCGTGTGACAGCCACTTTCTGTGTGCATGCTTCGGATGTGTGCGCTCAAAAAAAAGTTTATCAGAAGTTTAAACTGATATGGCTTTAAAACACATGATTTCAGCGCAATAGACATGATAATCAAAACCAAAAAGATGTTTTTTTTACAGAATATCTGAGGAACGTGCTGTAAAGGCACAGCCCTATTCTGGAAAACAGGGTGGGGAGCAGCAGTTCATTTGCATTTAAAGGCACATGCATGAAAACAGTGAGTTTCTGTTTCCACTCAAAATAGGCATTTTAAAAATGATATAATAAATTAGCTGTGGGGTATTTTGAGCTACAACTTCACAGACACATTCTGGGGACACCTGAGACTTATATTACATATAGGCATAATAGGTGCCTTTTAAAATCTGAAACATTTGGAATAGCATTGCACATATTGAATTTATTTATTTATTTATTTATTTATTTTTTGAAAGGTCAACTAGTTGTGAATAAAATTACCAGTAATTATATCCAATACAAAAAAGCAATCAAGAATGTCAGTAACTTATAACCTTATGGGGTATTTTCATATAGTTTTTAAGCCCTTTACCCAGTGCCTTGCAGTGATTTCAAAGATTAGACTTGCATGTAGCCATGGCAACTACAGCAGGAACTCTCCAAGTGTGTGTGTGAATAAGATTGGATGAGAGGGATCACCGCCCCTGCAGGTCTGCTCCACCTTTCGGCTTCCTCACTTCAACTCACCCCTCACTTTTTATCTCTCCCTACCTTTCTCTCCATTCTGCCTCTTTGCCGGCAGAGGATCCTCACTTTTTATCTCTCCCTACCTTTCTCTCCATTCTGCCTCTTTGCCGGCAGAGGAGCCCACACCATCCGAGCCTCTACAGTCAGGAGCAGTGCGGCTCGCTCCGATATTCACCTGGGTGCTGCCAAGGCTGCCACCAAACCTGCACCGCCCACCCTCCTCTAGCCTTGGCCAATCACAGTCATGGACATAACCATAACCACACCCACATTCTCCACCAGAACCACACTCAGACTCTAAACCACACCCACCTTCTCAATCACAACCATGCCCATACTCTTAACCACACCCACACCTTGAGCCACAACCACTTGCATACGCTTAACCACAACCATGCCCACGTTCTCCACCAGAGCCAGAGCCTTGTCTTGGAGCACAATCACATGACCGTACGTCTCTGAAATGTGCTTTATTGCACGTGTTTGCTTTAGAGTTAGTGCTGTCAATTTTAGAGTGTAGCTGACAGCCTAGCGTGAGCATTTTAGCCAGCTAATTAGATAAGTGGTTAGCTGTCAGCAAGTTATTTAGTGCAAAGTAACTGCTTAGATTCCATGGCTGTGCAGTAAAAGTTTTGCATAGTCACAGGTCTCTTTTCTTGTCTCATGCCCCTTTCATTAAACTTCAACACGCAGGTATACGCATACATACAGGTTGCTCTCGCTAGGGCATGCTAAAATTGTTCCATAGAGTAATACCCTGACTAAAGCTTTGTTTTGAACTCCTTTGAGAGTCAATTCTTTTGGCAGCAATAGCCAACGCTGCATTTCAATGAGGGCCTGGAGTTAAAAAGAGCTGCTCTAGGATGGACATTTTCGGTTTACCCTGAGGTACTCAGTCAGTTTGTGTCCATTGTACTGTACCTTTTTTTAAGAGTCCTCCCCTTTTTTCATGAAAATAATATCAGCTTTGTTTGTTTGGAAAGTCAAGCCCAGCTGTGTCAGACTGCGGTATGCTAATTTATGTTCACTTTGGTTCATTGTAATTAGTGCTGGTGCCAAGGGATGTGCTATTTACTGTAGAGGTGTTGCAGATGTGTTGCACTAGACTAGTACTTTGTCTAAACACAGCATGATGATTGCTAAAATGAACAACTTGTTTATTTTTGATGGACTCTTTAACCACCACATACTGCTTATAACAGATTAGCTCCACCCTTCATCATACATAAACTGTATGACCCAAATGTAAATGATGAAGAATTGGTCTCTATATGTTTCGTTCACTTGTGGACAGCATGCCATTTGTAACAAGCTGAAGTAATCTCTTCTCTGTCCTTCATTCACTTACACAGACGGACTTTGAAAAAGATGTGGACTTAGCGTGTCAAACAGGTAAGTACTTCTGGGACCTCTTTGCTTTCTCATTCTTGCACTTTCCTCACCATTTTTTCACTTTGCCCTGGTTCTAATGCAGTTTGTTTGGTCAAATATGTGCATGTAAAGTTAACCCTGCACATCATTGTCTCCCCCTCACCTGCAGAAAGAGGACACCCATGTAAGTCTCACTCTTAAGTTAGAACATTCCTGTTTGTATGTCATTTGTGTTAGTTAGACTATAGCATTTTGTTGATTTGCATGAACTGACATACACATGCACATGACTGCTTTTTGATTGTCATATCCTTATCTACTTTGGCATACTAGAGCCTTACAGGGATAGTTCACCCAAAAATGAAAATTCTGTCATTAATTACTCACCCTCATGTCGTTCCAAACCCGTAAGATCTTTGTTCATCTTTGGAACACAAGTAAAGATATTCTTGATGAAAGCCGAGAGCTGTCTGACCCTGCAAAGACAGCAATGTTACTGAAATGTTCCCAGGCCCAGAAACGTAGTTAAGGACATTATTAAAATAGTCCATGTGACATCAGAAGAATGGTTGAATAAAGTTATTTTTGTTTTCTTTCCGCACAAAAAGTGTTTTCGTAGCTTTGTAAAATTACAGTTGAACCACTGATGTCACATGGATTATTTTAACGATGTACTTACTACCTTTCTGGGCCTTTAACGTGGTAGTTGCGTTGCTGTCTATGCAGGGTCAGAAAGCTCTTAGATTTCATCAAAAATATCTTAATGTGTGTTTCGAAGATGAACGATGAACGATGAACGGTCTTATGGGTTTGGAACGACATGAAGGTGAGTAATGATGGCATAATTTTCATTTTTGGGTGAACTATCCTTTTCATTTTAGCTTGGAATGTCAAGTTCCAAGAACCGTAATTGGCAGGTTTAGTTTTAACACTAAACCAACTTGATCATGTTACTAGTTTCACAGAAAAAGGCTGTGTTGCAGCGTTGGCATGGCAGGTTTATTAATGTCTATACTTATCTTGGTCTGTAACCTGAACATTATAGGAATAGAAACACAAATTTGTATCAGTTTTGTGGATTATAAACTACCGTTGCTGTAATATCGACCTTATAAAATTCAAAATAAGACAAAATCAAAGGAAGGTTCCTTTTTATTTTATTTTATTTTATTTTATAAGTATGTTATTTTAAATATATGCACTTGTCTTGTATTCATTTATTTTCTTTCACCTTTTGGACTGAGTTATGTTGGCTGTTAAATGTGACCTTATTAATGATGTATAAAACCGGGTAGGCCATTACGGCTGATGGTTTTTCTCTTAGACAAGCTGATTTGTGCATGGCTTTCCTTCCTAACCCTACCTAATTCAAGTGAACTCCTACTGTAACACCTCTGGGTCACCAACCTTTGCAACCGTCCAACTTCTGCATGCCGAGACTCCTGGATAATAATTCACCTGCCTGAAAATGTTTGTCCTTTCCTGCCCTCACTGCCTTACTTTTACCTGCTCTTTTGAACTCTGTACTGACACACTCCATTTCCACGCACTGTAACTGAGTTTATTTTCTTTTGTCTCTTTTCCCATCATTCCCTCCACCGATCACATTATCTCTGCACCCACTCAAATCAATCTTGCTTACTCTGTCACTGCTTCAACCTCTTCCCAAAACATCTGGACTCTGTACCTTTGGGAACTGCTTTGTAACCATCTTCCATCCCTTTTCTTTTTTGTCATGTGCTGTTTTGGCATCCAACTTCGTTATGATCTGTTTCTCTCTTGGTTCTTTGCCGCTCTGTCCATCTGTGTGATCATGTGCACTCGACCTCTGTTTCTGTCTCTTTCTTCCTCCCCACTTCTGTCTATCTGTTCTCTTTCTCTCTTCCTTTCTCCTTTCTACCTCAGTCATTTTTAAGGAGGTAAACACCTGTAACCCTGCTACCATAACTGGCACTCTATCCCGCATCTCCCTGGACGATGAGGACGACCCCAAGTTGGCAACTCATCAGGAAGGCGTTAATTTCAGCAGCCTGCCTGGGAACATCCCACCCCCTAATCTCCTGGTGCAGGTACCTCCTTTGGGTCCGCTGAATGAGCTAAGCGAGCAGCCACTAAAGAAGGACGTTAATGTGGAGCAACAAGGTCAGCATCAACGATCTGGACCCATCTACCTGTGCACGGAGAGCGGGCTGGGTTGGGCCCGACCAAACCCTTCTTCCACCCAGGATTCAGCTGGTGGTGGAGGTGGGGAAGGGGACTACATGGTGTTGCCACGTCGGACAGTCAGTCTCAAGCCCCCTCCTCCAACCCAAGATGAGGGGAAGCCCCTGAACATTACACTAGATGACCCTCCATTTCCTCCACCCCCTTCACCCATGACTCTGCATCCAGCAGAGAGTGAGGCATACCCTGCAGACTTTGCAGCTGTGGACCACATCAGCATGAACCTAAACAGCTCCTATGGCACGCTCAAACAGTTGCCGGCCCACACCGGGCACACGCATTCCCACACCAACACCCAAACCCTGCAGGTCAAGCAGAATCGTCCCTCTGTCCGGCAGATCCTTACCTCGGGAACAGTGGAGCGCACCAGAACCCTTCCCCGCAACCTGGGCAGCACCAACACCAGCCTCTCGGCTGGATCTTTGGAAGTAAGTAAGGGTTAAAAAAGGGGTTCATTCTTTCACAATCTAGAATCATCACTGCTGAATGTCCCAGGGTATTTTGGAAACCACCTGCAGTTTGCCGTTTTGGCGTACAACCTAGGAGCACAATAGTGTTGTAAACTCCTAGCATTATTGCCAGGAAAAGGGAACTGGGGACCACATAGCACAGAGAATCATTATGGCAGGAAAATGTCAGTTAGATCTGCACAAAAACATCACCAAGACAAAAACAAGCATGAATTCAGTGATTGCGAAACACACCAACCCAAACACAAAAAACTGTACATTCCTAACCTAGCAACAGACAATTTCTTACTAGTTCTCTCAAAATTAAAATTGTCATCATTCACGTCATTCCCAACATGTTTGACTTTCCTCTGTGAAACACAAAAAAGGATATTTTGAAGGTTTTTTTGAAAGTCACTAGGGTCCAAAACAACACTAGACCCCATTTGCTTTCCAAAATTACATATTTTGTGTTCAGCAGAAGAACATAAGTCAGGTTTGGAATAACATCTGGGTGAATACTTTAAAGCTGTTGTTACAAGAGAGAAATACTGAGGCTGAATTATCTTATAAGTAATGTCTCCTTTCATTTCGGGGCCGGATGACGCTACATCATCTGTAGTCCCTGAGACACCATACATACTGATCATCTAGCAACTCTCTCATCAGTCTGTCACAGGAATGCATTCAGGTGTGCCTTCTATACCCAGAGTCCCCTGTCAACATGATGTTACACAACTTAGTGACTGCATCGGTGTGTGTGTGTGCGCAGTTGCTCTTCTCTCTATAATTACACTACAGCCCCACAAGGAGAAACAGCAGATGGTGAGAGAGAAACAGCGCTGAAATAAAGCCACAGCTCTCCAGCAGCCCAGCAATGTTCAGCACAAGCCCAGAATATCATTTAGTCCTGTAACATAATTATAGAGAGCAATGCAGATAATTTGGAATCAACATCCTCTTGCTCAGCTAAAGGTCTCCTGAAGCTTCTCTTCAGGTTTCAGAGATGCAATGAGTAAAATGGAGCTGATTCACACTGAAAAGCACATCAGATAACTGGCTAGGCATCTGTGAGAGGCCTACTATGCTCTTGACCAACCATGTTCACAAATTCCTCACATTATTTTATGTAAAAAGGCATTAAACATTCCTGAAAAGGTTCATTAAAGCTATGCTGAAGATTTTGATTGTGTCCATACAATGAAAGTCAGTGGGGTCCAAAACAACACTAGACCCCATTTGCTTTCCAAAATTACATATTTTGTGTTCAGCAGAAGAACATAAGTCAGGTTTGGAATAACATCTGGGTGAATACTTTAAAGCTGTTGTTACAAGAGAGAAATACTGAGGCTGAATTATCTTATAAGTAATGTCTCCTTTCATTTCGGGGCCGGATGACGCTACATCATCTGTAGTCCCTGAGACACCATACATACTGATCATCTAGCAACTCTCTCATCAGTCTGTCACAGGAATGCATTCAGGTGTGCCTTCTATACCCAGAGTCCCCTGTCAACATGATGTTACACAACTTAGTGACTGCATCGGTGTGTGTGTGTGCGCAGTTGCTCTTCTCTCTATAATTACACTACAGCCCCACAAGGAGAAACAGCAGATGGTGAGAGAGAAACAGCCAGAGGAAGTGCCTGAGAGAGCCTGCACTCCTTCATTAACGGACACAAAACCTTCCCTCTCTGTCTGCGACACATAGTTCTTGGGGCTGGGGCATGAATTTCTAACTAAAGTCAGTTGTCAAACTTAAAGTCAAAATAAAATGTGTAGGTTTTTTTCAGCTCTTTTTACCAACCAAAATAGGGTATGAAACTGCAAATGATCAATGAACAGAGGTGCTTAAGCATGGTCTCAGGAGCTCAAACTAATATAAAAAAGTTTTTCTTCCATTTTAAACAGTGATTTGTGATTTAATGTTTTCTAGCTATAATTTTATCAAATAAATCACAAACAAAATGTATAAAATATACTAATAATAATAATACCGCAAAAGGGGTATAAGTAAGGCAGGTTAAAATCTTCCATACATTAATCTTTTGTTTATAAGGCCTAGTTAGTTTGGGACCAAATGCTAATTGATCATCCTGTATTTCCCTTAATTGAAGAAAATAATTAGTTTGGTCGTGTTTTTTTTTTCATCCTTGAATACCTCATTCACTCTTAAATGAATCATATTATGGAAGCAAAATATTAATTTCATGTTGACTTTAAAAAACTAATTAATGCTTTGATAGCTGACCACCTATAAAATACACTAAATGTTTCTCAATCATTCTCCATCTATCTGTGTCTCACTTACTCATAAGTGCCTGTAAATGCAGCCACAGGTTGTTAGAGTATACACCATTTTGTATATTAATTTCATATCAGACATCAAGCTGGAAAGGCTGCATTTTACCAGTTTTTTAACTTCACTTTTCTTCTAAATAACTCACTGACTCAGGTTTGGTTGTCATAAGGTTGGACAACTCAGGGAAAGTTACCTAAAGTACTGATATTTTATTGGGCTTGAACACTGGTGAAGTTTGTGTTGCTTTGGCTTCCTCTCACCTCACTCACCCAGTGACACCTGAAGTAACTTTGTCAACAACTAACATCTCACACTTAACTTCTCACAAAGTAAACATCATGACTCATCCTCCCTTTGTGAGTGGCATAGGCCCAGGTCTTGACTGATTTGTGTTCTGCGAGTCTGAGCTTGTGACAAATCGCCACCATGTGTACTGACACTATTGGTTAACTGTATTTGTGAGTGTTCCGAAGACTTTTTATTATAGACTGTCTCTTATATTAATTTTAAGCTTCAAATACAACAGGAAATGGACATATTCTGTTTGCTTTTTAGATTGATTTACAGGATAGAAAACCCTTCGGAGATGCATATATAACACTTAATGGGCACTAACTACAATACAAAGCTACAGTGCTAGAGTCCAAAATTAATACTCGTGTCAAATGTCATTGCCAAGAAACATATAGACCTGCTTAGTTTCAGTATGTTAGTCTTATCCTTGCTGAGCCATTCAGTCTTAAATGCAAGTATTCTACTAATGAAAACTTTTGTTATGATTTAAATGTCTTCCGACTTTAGAAGTTTATATATTATATAATTAATATATTAGATCAGAAGTTATTTTCTACAGAACTCCATGTGGCAACATTATGTGTGTCCTATTATACTGTATGTATTAGCCAATAAAATGGAAATGTGAGGAAAACATCCCTTACCACAATAGGTCTTCAAATTTTTGTGACATTTGTCATGTCACTGAGAGACACAGATTGGCTCATCCTGTATGTGTTGCTATGAGTGGCATAATGACCTGCAATGTTAGGTCATTAATTAATCTGCTCAGAAAAGGTAGCTAAGTAATCCCATTTTCCAAGGACAAATATATGTTCATAAAGGATTTTCATTCAGGTTTTTTTTGTTTGTTACCTTTGTAATGGGGAAAAGAAACTAGGTGCAGGTAACATGGAGAAAGAGTACACATTGTTCATTTATACTACCAACACTGTAACAACACAAAGCTGGTTGAAAATCTGTTAAGTTGTTCTTTAATAAAAATTAATGAAAATACAGATTCATGGGCCTATAACAAACATTTAATGCCCGTTGGTCTTCTCAACCGACTCACCAAGTGGAGCATTAAGTTAATTTGAAACCCTGTACATTACTATGCAAAGTGCAGAAGTACAAACAAATTTTGTTAGAACTAAGCAAGTTCCTACCGAGCAAGTGGTTTTGGTGTTTACAGAAGATTAGAGATGTTTACAGACTGAGACATTTATAACATATTATGCCATTTTCTAAACATTCTACCGCTTCTGCTGTTTACATTATATGCAGACAGAGTATTTATTTATTTATTTATTTATTTTTTAATCAAAGGCTCATATCATCATCACTTATGCTGTTTTATGGAGGAAAATCCTATCCAAGGCCTATCCAACCAGTGGCCCAATCCGGCCTGTTTGAAATTTTCAGTGACCCACATAAAGATGCCAGTAAAATATCCTAAAATGATGTCATTAAATATACTGTATTAGATGTAACCAGTTTCAGGTATGATTTGAAAAGTACACATTATATATATTTTTTAAAATATGGACATTGTTATGCACTTCTCTTATGCTGTAAGACGCCCGCCATACACACACTTATTGTTGAAGGCAAATACACCTTTCCTGTGTTCACGGTGAAGTGCGGTTTCAATCCAAACATAAAACACCCACTGGAAAAGCAGTTCAGCTGAAGGGTATTATATGCTCACTGCACCTGCATGAGGCAATTGCGTCATGGGCGCCAGTTTACTCAGGTGCTGAAAGATGTGCAGTTGTGATTGATGGTGTCTTCTCTCCCCCTCCCCCTTCCCCCAGAGGAAAAGAGTACGGTACTCTGAGCTGGACTTTGAGGTAAGACCCCATCCCCATCTGCCCTCAGACTAGTGTTTGTGCTTCTGTCCAACATTATCTAGAGATTTTTCAATGGACGCATACAGGAGCCAATGATAGTTGCTGCTCTGGTGCTTGTTTCCCCCATCATGCATTTAGTATTAGCAACAGTCCTATCCATGGCAGAACTGCTTAGTGTTTCACATGCCTTGACTTCTTAGGCTTTTTCGGCATTGTTTCAAAATAGGGTGACCACATATTGCACATTGAAATATATATAATAAAATTAAACTATACATATGTAATGTTTAATATAAATTATACATTAACTTAATTGAGTGTGTATAAGCGTTTGTGTGTTTAAATACAGTTCTGCACATAAGTTTACATTCCCCTGGTGGAATATGAAAGATGTTAATGATTATTACAATGGTATGTTATTTATTTAGTGCTGTCCTGAATGAGCTGTAGAAGGTCAGCCTACCTAGAACATCAACAGTTGAGTCACTGGTTTGTCATAAACCATGGGTGTCCAAACTTGGTTAAGGAGGGCCAATGTCTTGCAGAGTTAA